TCAACTAAATGGATGATAGAATATTTAAGTATTACAAGATGTGGGTGTGGGCGTGGGCGTGGGTATGGGTATAGGCCAAGCGCATATACAACATCCAGACTCGCACCTACACCCAGACCATTTTTCGTTAGTATATTCGCTAATTAGCAAATCTCTTTCATGAATATCGCCAATTTGGCGAATCTCTAGCATGAAATTCGCCAATAAAATTTTTGTTTCGCCATAGTGTATTCGCCAATTGGCGAAAAGGAAGATTGGGGATGGTATAATTCCGCCACTCGGCTATACAGTTTTGACCATCAACATGAAAGCTAACAATGGAAGTTAGAGAGCGGAAACCTATCGTTATGGCCGATTCAAAGAATTTTATGGACTAGTTGAGGCTCAAGATAACAAATAACGTCCGTCTAGCAGCCACCACCGTAGGCTTTTATGTTTATACCGATCACCTCGTTAGCCTGATGATTATATTAGTGCGTAAAAGTGTCTCGTATACGACTACATTCTCAAATCAAGAATACGGTTTCAATTCTAGAGTTTAAGGCGAACATGGCAGGTTAGAATATTAGGAGCCCACTGATGTGGTCGATTTTGACCATTTTTCAGACACCTGCATGCTTGCATCAATCACTGATGCTGTTACATCGGAGTTTGGCATAAGTTTTCATGGTTTCACAGACCCTTTTCTTAATCGAATCGCGGTAATCAAGTATGAAAGAAACGCTTTATGCGTTATAGTGCTGTCTAGTAAGGAGTATAGCTTTGACTATCGTTATTAATATTAGTGATGCAACGATGATGATTACCATAGGTATGGTTACGGGTTCACTACATGAACCATTGGTACGGTTATTGCTACAACTAAGAAAACTGCACCTACGATTTCAGGACCAATTATGATAACCATAGGTACAGTTATCAGTCATATAAGGCTTTCGTGAAACACACTATTTTCTAAGACACTAACGAACTCCTGTGAAAACTAAAGAAAGATGATCATGATCAGAAAATCGGAATCTGAGGTCAAATTGTGAAAATGTTTAAGTTGACTTCGTACTCTAAGGAAATTTTTTCTAAGAAGATGCTGATACTTAGTAAAGAATGACGAAAGTAAATCGGTTTCTAGGGACTCGAATATGATATCAACTTATCAAGGCTCTGCATTTCAATTATCAATAAAATGATTTCTTGATGAATCCTATAGTTTTCTTAAGTAGTAGAGTCAAGTGCGTCAAGTTGAATTTCCTTTCATCAGCCCATCGAGGAAATAGTTACTTTCATAATAAACACTCACTTAATCTAAAAGCTTCAGTTTAAAATTTTCAAAGACTGACTTTGAATTCAGACTCTCCGGCCCCAGTTTACTTCGTCAACCTTTACAAAAACCTCACTTTCTTAACAATGCTGTTTTTCTCGACACCCGTTTTGATCTAATAACTGTACCTAGGAGGATCGTAATTGGATCGGTAACTGTAAGTTTGGTTATCGCAATCGGACTATCAGCCGTACCCACGATACTCGTAGTTTTGCTACTAACGGTAAAAACAGTTATCGTATTTAGATCGGTATTTGTAGGTATGCTTATCGTAGCTAGATCGGCGGCCGTAGGTATGGCCATATACTCTCGCTGATAGCTATCAATGCGGTATCATAGTTGGACTGGTAACCGTAGGTCCGTTTATCGTAGTTGCACCGATAGTTTTACTTACGGTAATCGTAGCTAGGCGAGTAATCGTAACTTAGATGATAGTAGTTAGACTGGTAAGCGTACCTGTGGCTATTGTAGTTGGATTGATTACGGTAGTCTCGGCGATGGTAGTTAGATCTGTAACCGTAGGCACAGTGATCTTAGGTGGACCAGTAACCATTGGTACGGTTATCGTGATTGGATCGAAAAACGTAGGTACAATGACTGTAGCTGTACCGGTAACCGTAGGTATGGTTATCGGCTTCGACCGGCGAAATGACCTTCACCGTTGTATTTCTAGTCAATATCAATACCTTTCATTTAGAACTACGAAAATCTGCGATGATGACCGGTTTTCGCTATTACTCAAACAACATAAGACTCAATACATCCAGCACTACTAATATGCCAGTCTCCATTATGGCTCTTTATAACCTTATCGGCTTGATTCTCTGCTTTATTCCAAAGTTCTGATTAGTATTTCCCAAAATTAATTAGGACGCATAATTACTTCTTATCAGAAAGTTAAGTGCTCGAGCTTCTGAGATGTAACGTGTAGGAGACACACCGTAATACAAAAAAGTGACCGGTGCACCGGTCCCACCGCCTCACCGTACCACCGGTGCACCGTTCACCGGTCTCACCGTTCACCGGTCTCACCGTTCACCGGTCTCACCGTACCAACCGGTGAACCGGTGGGCGGTGGCACCGTTAGTGCGGTGAAACGGTGGACGGTGAACCGTCACCGGTGCACCCCTAGTCACAGTCTCAGCCATACCAACCCACCCCCACCCACAACCACATCCCCACGGACGGAGCCCATCCACATGCGCACACCCTACACATGCCCACACCCACACCCAC